ACAGGGGCTCTGCCATTACGGCCCACCAGTTGTCTATCGCCAAAGCCATTGCCAAATACATACTTAACTCACTGTCGCATAACGATAAGGTCGGCTTAATATCGCTCTCAAGTGATATCAGTTACCCCAATAGCGACACGTGTCTCACCAAACGTATGGCCAACGCCAACATTGAGACCAAATACCACTTCCAGAGGTTTATCGATGGTCTCCAGCGGACCAATGAGAATACGAATCACGTTTGGGGACTCAAAAAGGCCTTTCAAATGATTGCCAACACTTTTCAGGACACAAATACCAATGGTATGAAGTGTTGACACAATGTTTTTAAACTAGATTTTCTGTATTAAATGCCTATTTGTGTTATCAGAGCTTAACCCGAGCCCATCCGAAGCGCTTATCGTTTATATAAGTCGCGGCCTATTGTCCGCCTTAACCGACGCCCGCCTTGTGATGGAATTGATAGCCAAAGAGATAAACAATAGTTACGAAAATAACTACTCGTTTGTGATAAACTCATACGCGCTGATCGACGACACGAAACCCGTTATGTATGAAATCGATTTTCTCCGAGAGATCGCAGAAATGAATTTTCCAAAGTTTAACGTCTTATCGCCGGATCCGATCAGAATTAGGGTATGTTTTCAATTCAATAATATGTGCCATTCTTTATGCCAACTGTACTCATAACTGGTGTTTAACTGTTGACCCGCACGTGAATAGCCGGGTATTATGGTGGCCGTCAACTCGACCGAGAACTTGAGCTTCACGTTGGGCGGCATCCATGCGGTGCTGACCCGACCCACGCACTCATCTATTTATATATCGCTTCCTTATTGGGATGTCATCAGCAAAGGTATGGCTTTTTAATTACTTTTTAATTCAATAAATACCTCTTTTGTGAAGTGATAAGAGAGTTGTGTTTTCTTGTGATGAGATAATGAACCGTAAAATGAGATTCAATGAAATAAAACGATCGGCTGATAATGAAAACACAATTCTCACACTTATATCACTTAACTTTTAATGGACTCATTATAACTGGTTTTGTAACGCAAATGTAATTAACTTTTTGACGACCAGATGTACACATAGCTGTCAGTAAGTCAGTCATACATAGGGGACAACTGATTGGAGTGATAGCTCTGGACATATCGTTGTCAGACCTGTCCGAAGACATTATCCATTATGAGGTCTCTCCGGACTCCTACGCCTTCCTCATCGAGAAGAGTAATGGCATTGCTATACATCACCCGTCGTTTAGTCCGCCATCGCTGCAAACGCACGACCAACTGATCCATACGGACATCGAACACATCGAACAAAAGGCTGGCTTTCAAACCATTCGGACAAAGATATTGAAGAATACCAAAGGAATGGAAGCGCTTATTGCGGACGACAAGAACAAAACACATTTAACTTATTATTGGCGTCGAGTCCACTCTTCGCCATATATTGTAGTCATCGCTGCCTATAATAACGTCGATCGCAGACATACCATAACCTCTCCGCTCGCCAAAGACGCCCACTTTGCGTACCATCGGCTGGACCTGAACGCCAGTCCACCCAAACTTTGTCGGCATTTAAAACAATTGGCGACAATTGGTTTGTATTTGATTGGAGTTTGCATTGAGTTTAGCATTAATTACAATATTTTTGTTCATAAAATCTACAGAAACGGCGACTCTATTCCTGTCTTCCAAAGCATTCATCTCTCCGTTCGCTAACGATATGCTCGAAGAGAGCACTCATATTGTGCAGCGATATATGGCTTATCTGAATGACAACACGAAACTGATCGCCAATCCGGGCCTTAAGGGTGCGGTGAGGGGTGAAGTGCATGCCGTCACTCGTGTCACTCAGTACTGGAAGTCGAAACTGGAGTCAAGCGAAATGTCCAAATTTATTGTCAGGAAATATATGGCGACACCCAATGGTGTGTTCCTACTATTCCCGGGCGCTCTCATTGACAAGTCCTTCGAACCCACGCGACGGGAATGGTATTTGAAAGCCGTGAAGAATGCCGGGAAGATTGTGTTCACCGCTCCGTATCTGGATGTGGGCGGCGCCGGCTATATAGTGACCCTCAGCCACACTATACACGCCCAGAACGGCGACCCCAACGCTGTGGCCGTGATTGCCATGGATTTTACATTAGGGTATTTTCATAAGTTCCTGCAGACGCACATGGGATCCATTTGCAGGACAGAGCAGATCGCGTGCTTCATAATGGACGACAGGGGTTACCTCATCGCTCACCCCTCGCTCGTCGAGCCCATACAGTTGGCACCGA